AGGTGGTGCTGTTTATCCGGCAGTGAGGCCAAGCAGCTGCGCGTCAATTTCGTGGCAGTTCTTCGTGCCCCTGTCAATTTGCACTCAGGTGGTTGGATCCATTAACGTTCTTCGAGCCCTGCTCTGTCTTGCAGGTCAGCGATCATGTCTTCCGTTGAGGGTGCTCCCAGCTGATGGTGCGCAGCCTCGCTGCTGGCGTGACTGTGCCTCAGCTGCGTTCTACGGGGGTTGATAGGTTGAGGTCAGGTTGAAAGCCGCATCCTCCTTGGAGGCATCCACCCTGCCCAACCCTGTTGAGTTTCAATAGGTGAAAACCCAACCTATTTGTGGGCTGGCGACGGCGGTGTCGTTAGCGCCGTTACGTAACCTTCCTGAAGGCATCGTCTTGTACATCTTGCATCGTGCTTAGTTCCTCCTCGGCTGGCGATGGCACCTAATTACATCTTGTTGAGAAGTTGGAGCTACTGTGTTAAGGTGTCAACGAGCTCAACAACGATGACTCATAGTCGTGATTAACCGTGGACAGTGGATAGAACAAGAATCTTAGTGGTAGACTTCATATTTGACCATACATGGTAGCTGTTTGGTGTTTTGACGAGGTTTTTGTCTCGTGGTTGATCTAAGCTTTCGAGATAAGGCTGAGGTCCTTTGTCGGACGATTTCCAGGCCCGGTTTCTTTTATAAACAGGATCAATTCTCCTCTTTTTACTAATATATACGTCGAATGGTTCCAGATCTTTAAAAACCCGAATTAGAAACATCGATCAGTATCATTTTGAAAATCAAATAAAAAATATACCGAATATATTCCCAATACCTCATAGGAGCTAATATTTTAAATAAATCTTAGCCTTTGGTCTATAAAATACATAAAACATTTAAATGATTAATAATTAATTGAAATATTAGAAGAAAAAAAAAAGGAAAATTAAAGGCAGGAAATCTCGGCCCATAGTTCAGTGTTGGTCTCCTTCATTATCCTCATGTTTTTTTCGAAGGGAAAAATTCCACATTCTCCAAAAGTACCTAATATTTTCTTTCTAAAAACATAGAGTTTTACAACTCTAAAAAAGTATTAAAAAGAATAAAGAAGGCCATCTCTAAGAGTTTCTAATAATCTACTTCTAAAATATAGAAGATAATTTTACATCAGGAATCATATATTATTTCTAAATTATCATAATCACTTTTATATATTCTTTCTCTCTTGTACATTTGCATCTGGAACCATTTCCTACTCTTTATTCTTTCGATGCCCTTCCACCTTTAGATTGGCCGACAAACACATTGGGTGAGAGAAGATACGCGTGACTCGGAAGCGCGTAACTTTACGTGGAACAGGGTGACTTTTTCCAAATTCTAAAAGATTAGGAGGATGGATTAGGAGTTGTTGGAGAGAGGTTTTTTCTCATCTTCCTAAAAACCAAGGATTATGAATGGATTTAGGCAACTCTTGGAGATGCTCTAAAACCGGATAAACCATCTCCTGAACTTTTAAAACCGTTCATTTTACCTCCCTGACTCGTTATAAGCGGTTTTCAAAAACGGGTTTGTCTTTTTCTTTTTTATTTATTTCGGCCAAATCTTTGAAAAAATCATAGTAAATTATAGAAAAATCATAAAATGAAAAAATTCTAATTTTGTTGGACTCCACATGAGTAGATCTACACAGTGAATATATAATATGATATACTTTAGTACAAATTTTTTTGTTATAGCTTTAGATCTATGTTTTTCTATAATTAATTTATAGCTGCAGTTTCTATAATTCAATTATGGTGAAATTTTTATGTTGAGCTAATTATTGCATGCTTGAACTGTAGTAAAAATTTCATACTCATTGCATCATATATAACTTAGTTATAGATTTATTTAGGTGTATACTTGTAAAAAGTATTTAGAAATCCACAGTGTAACTAAATTTATTTTCTTTGTGCAGGAGAAATCCCAACATCTCTTTTCACTCTTCCAGCTCTAGGCTACTTAGATCTTTCATTAAACCAACTTTCTGGTCCCATAAATGAATTCGATGCTGCATCTTCATGCTTGAAGATTGTATACTTGGAAATGAATAATCTGACAGGACAAATCCCCCAGTCATTGTTGGTACTCCCAAATTTGAAGGAACTCAATATTGAGGGCAACAACTTAATGGGCTCAGTGGATCTTGCGTCACTATGGGGGAAGGACCTCACTTCTTTATTTCTATCATACAATAAGCTGACTGTAATAGAAGGGGAAGGTATTAATAATTCTTTATCCACCTATCCCTATCAGCTTGTGGAGCTAGGTCTTGCTAGTTGCAATATGATAAAAATACCAAAGTTAATAATGCATGCCAAGCACATGATTATTCTAGACCTTTCAAGTAATAAAATCAGCGGGGATATACCAAGTTGGATATGGAATTATGACCTCATGTGGATAAGTCTTGCAGACAACATGTTCACTGGTATGGAACTTAATTCATATGCTATCCCATTCAGTAACACCATGTATGATAGTTTCAATCTTAGCTCCAACAGACTTCAGGGGTTGATTCCTATGCCATACTCATCAGCTGAAATATTGGATTATTCAAATAATAGTTTCTCTTCCCTTCTTCCAAACTTCACATTATACCTTAGCTCCACTAAGTATCTTATGTTGTCACACAATAATATAAGTGGTTATTTGCCACGTTCAATTTGCCATTCACCTTTGGAAGTCCTTGACTTATCGTATAACAACTTTAGTGGACTATTACCACGATGCTTGATGGAAAATAGTCTGAGCATAATAAATTTGAGGGAGAATCAATTCAAAGGGATGCTACCTTCCAATATTTCAATTGGATGTCCTATCCAGACAATAAATTTGAATGGCAATAAGATTGAAGGTCAGCTTCCAAGGACACTCTCTAAATGCACTGACTTAGAGGTTCTTGACCTCGGAAGGAATCAAATTACAGACACTTTTCCATCCTGGCTAGGGGGCCTTTTGAATCTTCGTGTCCTTATCTTGAGATCCAACAAGTTCCATGGTTCAATAGGTCATCTTGAAGATGAAAAATACAGAGGACGACACTTCTCAAGCTTGCAAATCATTGATCTGGCCTCAAACAATTTCTCTGGAAAATTGCATCCACAATGGTTTGAAAATTTGAAATCAATGATGCAGGATAACAATAGTGGAGATATCATATATCATCCAAACATAGGAGTACTTTACCTAGACTCTATCACAATATCATACAAAGGGTTCACCATGAGCTTTGAAAGGATCTTAACTACCTTAACTGCAATAGACATATCAGACAATGCACTGGAAGGAAATATTCCTACTTTGATTGGAAATCTGCTTTCACTGCATGTACTAAACATGTCTCATAATGCCTTCACTGGACAAATTCCACCCCAACTTGGTAGCATAACTGCTCTGGAGTCCCTGGACCTGTCTTCCAACATGCTATCAGGTGAGATTCCGCAAGAGTTAACTGATCTCACCTTCCTTAGCATCTTGAACGTGAGCAACAACCAGTTGATGGGTAGGATACCACAATCACATCAATTCACGACATTCCAGAATAGCTCATTTGATGGCAATGTAGGACTCTGTGGACCCCCTCTATCCAAAAAATGTGGCACTCCGGATATTCCAAGTGAAGCACATCTGAAAAGCTCCTCTCACAGTGTCGATGTTGTTTTGTTTCTCTTCGTTGGTGTGGGCTTTGGAGTGGGATTTGCAGCAGCTATTCTATTGAAACTGGATTATTGGATCAGCAGGTGGTTCCATATTTTCAGGATTCTATGTTGACTTGAAGGTGCCTGATTGCTATAAAGGAGGTGCAATATGTCATGCACAAACAACTTGGTGGTACTGCATATTCTACGGTACCTAATTATACAGTATGGTTTAGGCTATCCTTAGCACATTAAGATAAGTGTTAGTTGTTTTGTGTATGTAATCTTGTGGAACCTAGGTTTGTTTGGCACCTTGGCTTACTAGTACTTGCTGGTCTTGTTACTATATGTTATCACTTATCAGTGATCATTGCTCATCAAAGTGGTGTCATGTAGATGACAAGTACACATTTTGTCAATGTCCAAGAAACTGCTACTTTGTCAGTGACTTTTGCTCTAAATCAAACCTATTATAAACTAAATGCATGTGTTTCCTTTCCCATGTTCCTTTACATTGATGGCAGATTGGGCCTGCATACCACTCACCAAATACGGTAACAAGAGGTATATATAATTAGGATTGATGAGGAAGTATATATCCCGGGTGTGTCATTAGGCTTGTGGTGACACCCAGAAGAGAGTACGCTATATCATCTGTGAATGTCAGTCAAGATTATGCTACTATCTAGTACTTTCCAAAAAAAAAAGTATGCTACTAGTAGAATTGCAATGGCTTGCAAGATAGAAGTGGGTTCCGTGGGAAGCATGACATACTGCAAAACCCCAGCAGGATTCCCCAGGGATCCTGCTCCTGGATGAAGGCGCATGTTTTCCTTTCTTCTCATGAGTGACATGATGTATGGAGTGTATATATTAGCCTTCCAACTAGGCTATAGATTCTGTCATTTATATGGGTTGATTATTAATACTCACAATATGACATTCGCACCTAGTACAGAGCATTGACATGCAGAATATGAAAGATCAGTTGAGCTTCTTTCTCATATTCATTTTAAGAAAAGAATCCAGTGTGAACCACAAGATCTCTCAACAGGCCTTTTGTAAGAAGTAGGGAGTCTAGGAACTACCTTTTGTATGAACCACAAGAATGTATTTTCCTTGAAACAGTCAAGTATATTCTTGGTAGTACACTGTAATAATGAAAAACCTTACATGCGAACCTCCCGACATGCAGTTTATTCCTCAACGAAAGACATGCCTAAACTAAGGTTCAACACGAAAAACAGCAGTACATTATATATATATAAAAAAACAGCAGTACAGCCTACAGGCACTGTGTAACTGTGTTACATCATGAACTCTGTTGTTTCAAGATGGTTACATGAGGAAGTCCCTGGGGTCCGTGACGTACCCCGTCAGGGCCGAGGCGGCGGCGGTGTAGGGGGACGCCAGGTAGATCTGCCCTTCCTTGTGCCCCATCCTGCCTGGGAAGTTCCTGTTCGTAGTGGACACGCAGACCTGCATCCAGGTTACCAGATCCATATGTTAAATTCATCTCATCAAAGCCACACATGTCAACATACTAGAATTTCAGAGTACTTGTTTTCCTTCACAGACTGAAGGACTTCAATCAATGACAAAAATTCTACAATACTTGTAGTTTCAACTGGCATTGATAGCATCTATACACGAGAGAAAAAAAAAGAAAGGAAAAAGAATATGCATCCCCCAACAGGAGGGGGAGGGGTCTAGTAGTAATAAGAAGGTGCTAGTGCTAAATCTGCACAGGGTGCATTATTGTTTAGTGATTACAGCCATAACTATTCAGTATCAACATTAGAACAGCAACCTAGCACATAACTGAGATGGAGGTACAGTTATGTACCCAAGTAAGCATAATTTGCGCATCAGTTAGCCAGTCAGAATGTGAAATTTGTATGTGCACAAGATATATTTTATCATTTGATAGTTCTTTGCTTTTTAAGGTAACAGGCAGAGCTTTATCATTCAATAGTTAAGATAACATAGCAACATACTAATTTGTGCACTAGAACCATAGTTCCCCACCCTAGGTATATACTAAGTACCATGCCTATTATATAGAAATGCTTCTAGATTTGCATGTGATACTTACCATAGGTTCATTCATCCGTGCATATGTATCACGAGGGCCACCCAAACAAGCACCACAGCTAGGACTTGCTGGTGTATCACAACCAGCCTCCTCAAATATCTGGGAGCAAGTTTTGCCACCAGATCCTGGTACAGGGAGGCTATATACGTCCATCCACACCTGCAGAGATTTATCACAATATTTCCAAATTATGAACAAGTCTACACTCTACATGGTGATCACATTGGAATATTTTTATTCTAAATGTCACCTTTTGTGTAGCAGGGACAAGAAATGTGGGAACTTTAACCTTCTTTCCCTGGATTAAAAAGAAAAAGTTTCCAGTAAGTCAAGTAGCCATGGGATAGGAGGTCTGAAAGATAACAAGTACGTACACCATGATAGGATTCAAGCTTCTTACCGAGGCTAAGAACACCTTTGCAGCAGCAAGGAAGTCCTCAGTCTTACCACCAGTGCAAGAACCAATATAGACTCGGTCAATCTTGACATCCTTGCATTCTCTTGCTAGAGCACGGTTGTCGGGCGAATGTGGCTGCAGATTCAAGACAGTTATTATTGCTTCGTTTTTATAGGAAAATCAACAAAAGATGAAGATTGCAAAATACTACATCAACAAACCTTGGCAACTACTGGCTCCAGTTTTGATACATCGAAACGGTAGTCACTAAAAAATCTGGGAACAAAGGCAATCAAATAAAATAAGCAATAAATCATGCGCATTCCGTATCAGATGATCACACAGAGGCAAATTTGGAAGCAAAGAAATGACTTCATCTTTGATAGAGGATGTCCCTCCTTTAGTTCTTGGAAGAGGCTATTCATGGAGGAAGCTAAACTGCAAGCTTTGAGATTCAGTGATGCTAAACGACCGGCTCTCTCTTTGTATAGACTCCCTAGCTTAGTTTCTTCTTCTTCCGTCATCCTTAGACCTGTTGCTCTTTCTGTTTTGGTGTCTGTTGTATAGTTGTACAGGCTTGTTCCTTTTTCCTCTTTTTTATTTAATAAAAAAAATCTTACAGTGGGGGCTTCCCCTGCTGTATTCTCGCTCAAAAAAAGATGATCACATAGAGACTACAGAGCCAAATGTCTGGAAGGAAAGAATTAAAAGGGACGGAGGCTCCCACATGACTGGGGAAGGAAAACCGAGGCAATTCCCCCGCAAAATAGGCTGCTTTCTTGTATGTGCTGGAAGGAAAGAATTAGACAACAAATTATAGTTCTTGTATGTGCATAACATAATCAATTTTTAAAGACAAGAGATAAGAGAATATGGAAAAACTAGTGGTGTATCTTTTATCCATTTACTTTCGAAGTTCGATGTTGTCTAACAAGGACTCGTGATCTGTAAGGCAAATAACTTTAAAACTGAAAGGGTTTTTGGTGTTCTTGCCCCTTATTTTGAAGTGCAATTGTGATTTTGCCCTCGTTTTTCAAACTTTGTGATTTTGCCCTTCACTGTTAGCAAGTCAACGCGATTTTGCCCCTCGTCTTTGTGAATTTGCCCCTGTTTTGACCGTTGACTAGGGGCAAAATCGCGTTGACTTGCTAACAGTGAAGGGCAAAATCACAAAGTTAGAAAAACGAGGGCAAAATCACAATTGCACATCAAAGTAGGGGCAAGAACACAAGAGCCCCAAACTGAAAACATGCACATAGATGCACACATAACATGAGCTAAAGGTCAAGAAAAGCAGGGACAGCCTATAGTCACCTGGCCTGAGCATCACTGTAGACAGGTTCATAATCAATTGATGTCTTACCCTGCAGTATACCAGCATAACAACAATGATGTCAGAACTATTCTACAAACTAAACAGTAGAAGCTCATTTTTGCAAATTGTTCTGAGCACTCTCTAAAAGTTATTGGAATGTTATGAAAGAAAAGCATATTGGTCCAGCTTTATTATGAGCATTTCAAGGGGACTAGTTTTGTACCTCAAGGTATTTAAATGTAGTTTCATCAGCAGGCACAACACCGTTCTTTCCACCAGCTTCAATAACCATGTTGCATAGTGTCATACGCTCTTCCATCTAGCAAGTGTGTGAAAAGGACTAAGTTCAATGTTACGAAGTGTGGCAATTAATTAAGATAATCTTGAGCAGGAAACGCACAGTTAGACTTTCTACAGTTGATCCAACAAACTCCATTGATTTGTAGGTTGCACCAGATACTGAAATCTCACCAATAATCTGTAAGTAGCAATTAACAAGAATAAGAAGTCCTGATTACAGGTAGATCCTAAGAAAGGAACAAATTTAGCACAGCTTGTAAGCTTACTTGCAAAATCAGATCCTTCGCAAGTAAATAAGGCGGCATTTCTCCGTCTAATACAAACCTGATAGTAGGGGGCACCTGAAATGAACATTAAAACAGATCAAAACACTGTATTCTTTTTCTGGAGTTGACTGAAGCCCTGAAGCGTATCCAGCATCCACAATATATGACAATGCGATAAGATAAATATAACTGATGTATAAGTAGTGCTAACTGAAATACTGGATACAATACGCAATATTTCTATTATTGTTATCCTATGATGAAATGCAAGTCAGTGTAACAACAATAATATTTTATTGATTCTCATCTATCTTGAACTTTGATTTGTAATATATAAAAAATTGTCACTCTCCTGACCGATAGAAGAAATAGAGGTACAGTTCAGTTTGCGTATACCCTGTCTTTTTTTCTTTTATTTTCTTTTCTTTTATGATTTTGGTTCTGTAAGACTGATTTCAAAATTTTACCTTCGGAGAGTAACAAGAACCATGGGCATACCTTGAGAAGAGCTTTTCCAGTGCCCAACACAAAACCTGCATCGGTGTTTCCAATTCCGGTTGCAAATTGACCAAAGGCTCCAGCATTGCATGTATGAGAATCAGTACCCAGGAGAACCTAGACAGCAATTGGAGCAGGTTAGCGCTCCCCAACATGCTGATGTTGTACAATCACAGGTGACCTGTATACTTGAAAAACAGCAAGGTACCTCGCCTGGTCGGCAGTGGCCTTCCTGAGCAAGTGCGACGTGGCAGACGCCTTTGTAGTCTGGATTAGCCTGCAAACAACTCTGAAATGTAAACTGTTCCGGAAGGGCGAAAAACTAGAAGGAACCTAAACTTTAGTACTATGAGGCAGAGAAGCTAAGATATGAATGAATTGAAATGAACCGAGAAGCAAAGGAGTGGGAGGCATACCTTGAAATTGCTGAGGTCCTTGATGTCATAGAAGTACTTGATGTTCTGCTCCACACAGAAGTCCCTGATGATATCGACATTGCGGTTGGCGCGCTCGTCGCTGGTGAAGATGTAGTGGTCCGGGATGATGACGACCTTCTCGCGGTCCCAGACCTTGGCGTCCTCCCCGAACTCCTTCTTGAAGATGCCGATGGTGCCAGGCCCGCAGACGTCGTGCGTCATGAGCACGTCGACGTCCACCCACACGTTCTCCCCGGGCTCCAGCGCCGCGCGCTCCGACGCCCGCGCCAGGATCTTCTCCGTCATCGTCATCGCGCTCTTCACCTGGAGAGGGGCAGGCGGGCGGGGCGGCCGCGCGAGTTCGTGTGTGTGTGAATCGAACGCGGCGCGCAGAGCAACAGCGACAGCAGTTCGGGATTCAGGGAGGAGAGGGGGGGCGTACCGAGCCGGTGGACGACGGGGCGCGGGGGGCGCGCGCGGGCGAGGCGACGGCGCGCACGCGGCACGGCTTGGTCCGGCGGCTCGAGCCCGCGCGGTGCTGCGCCGGCGCCGGCGCGGCCAGCTCCTTCTGGGACGGGAAAGGGAAGGGAGCCGGTCAGTAACGGGGCGCGAGCGGGCGAGGAGGGAGAGAGGGAAGGGGGAAGAGGACGGACCTTGTGGGCGAAGGCCGCGGAGGCCTTGGCGGCGGTGGAGATGGAGGAAGCCATGGCGTGGCGGCGCGCGGTCGGCCGGGTCAAGCGAGAGAGAGGGAGGGATTGGGGCGGGGTGGTGCGGCGTGTGGGCCCGTGAGGGTCACCGGGTGAGGTGGGAAGTGGGCGAGCACAGTAGCTGCGACTGCGAGTGGGACCAATATATAACGGAGGGGAAAGGGCTGAGGTGGATGGGTTTGCAAAATGAGCACGGCATATGACCCATTGAGCTATGAGCTGTTTAGGCTAGCTTTGACATGACATGGAAAAAAATGGCATTTACTTGGAGTGTTTCCTCCCTCCAAAAGCACATTTGAGTATAAATAAAAAAGGTCTTCAAAATCGTTGAGCTTCACTGTTTATATTCCAATATTTACCAATTGTTACAAAACAGCATAATCCGGTCATGGACTTTATACTAGAAACATGTGTATGATTTTACTGATTGTCGAGCATAAACTTACATAGTATTCCCTCCATTTCAAATTATAAAAAAAATTGAATTTTAATATATATATATATATAAGTGTATATAACAAAAGCTACACATCTAGAAAAACCAAAACAACCTATAATTTGGAACGAAGGAAGTAGTATAATCGGTCTATATAAAAATGCATCTCGCATTGACAAACATATAGAGTAGGTGAGAAGATTATAGCGATACCATGAGTGCTTGGCTGCACTTCTTGTCGCTGCTACAATTGTTAGCCACAAGAAGTGGAGCCTAACAGAGCTATTTATTCATGTAGTTATGGAGAACTAAATATTTACAACCGATGATCAGTTATGGTTTTTACCCTCTCGATCCAAAATTATAGGTTGTTGTCCTAAATCAAATTTCTTTAATTTTGAAAGTTTATAGAAAAGATATAGAAACATATTTAACATCAGATTACTCTTATTGATTGTTTTCTCATTTCATTACATATATATGTTCTAGTACTGCATTTATTCGAACTTATAGGTGTCAATATATATATATCTTTAAAGACGTGGCTAAAGTTGGAGAAGGTTGGTTTAGTACAAAGCCAAAGTGACCTATAATTTACGACTTATTATATATAGAGTAATAATTTTGTCAACCGGTTCCAAATTTCATCAGAACTACCTTAACAAAAAAAAAAGAACAAATCTACTCAGCTATTGCTAACAGCCATGTTTTCTTTTGCTAGCTAATTATTTGGTTCATCTTTTGGAACTCATGGTTCCTTGGCCACTACTCTCTTGGACAAAACTGCTGGACAAGCAGCATTTGCCAACTTGGCCGCTACGCTTGCTCATTTTGTCTTGCCAGCCCGTGGATGAATACGCGCACGTGGTCCATGTCCACCCACTTGCGTTCTCTTCTTCCCACGTATGCTAATTTGGCAGCCCACTGAAGCTCAGCCCAGCGCAACGACGCAGGGTTTGAACGGCCCACTTTAGGACACCGGAGCCCAAGGTGAAGCCATTTGGACTGCGCGGTGGCCTGCGCTGCGTGGCTGCGCCTGCACGCTCTCATGCACGGATCCGCGGAGGGCGTCCGGCAGCTCGGCAGCCAGCGCGGGTGATGTGGAGCTGCCAGCGCCTGGTCGGTCATATGGCCAGGACGCCCTCCCGGGCCGCGGCGTGAAAGGCATGCTCGGGCGTGAGCCCCGCGGCGATGCCCGTGGCAACGTGCTGGTAGGAGTAGAGCACGCACGGCCTCGGCGCACGTAGGCGGGCGGCGGAGGACCGCCTCGCCGTCACCGTTGGCGCGCGACGGACAGCGCCGGATGGCCAGGTCACAGGTGAATGATGTAGGTGAACTGCGCACGCGCCTCGCCCGACGCCGCGGTGACAGCAGCGAGGCCGCCCGAATTTTTTATTTTTTAGCTTTTTTTTGAAAAAAAAAAATTGTAAGATTTCAAAATATGGATCTTAGCTCGACGTCATCGTTGTTGGCGCCGAACTTACACTTCTCAGCGTTATCGTTGCTGGCGCCGAGGTCTTGGGCTCGACGCGCATGACGATGACTTGATAAGCAGCTCGACGCCGAGCTTGACGCCGTGGTTACTAGGTGGTGTGTTTAACCCCGCAATGCCTGAGCCTTCTTCCTCTTCTTTCTCGTCCCTCGCCTCGCCGTCGCATCCGTCTCGCAAGCCGCCTCGCGCCGCCTCCTTTGCTCTTTCTCTCTCCCGTCTGCGACCTCCACCGCTGATGCCTCCTCCCCGACCGCTGCTGGTGCCAGGCGGGCGTGGCGGCGCGCCGCCCGCCCTCCGGCCAGCTGCGACGACACCACGCCGGAGCGCCCCCCTCCCCTCCCGCCTGCGCCCTCCCGGCCGCCTTGGGCGCGTGCACGCAGGGCGCCTTGGCTGCGCCCACTGCCGCTGCCGCTGCAGAACGCTGCCCAAGCAGTGGCCGCTGCCCGCCTCCGGCCATCTCCCTCGCGGGCGCCGTCCTCGCAGACTCAAGAAGCCAAGCGGACGGCCGCGCCCACCGCCCCTTAAGCGCGAGGAGGCACCAAGCGTCCTCCGCCGTCGCCCAGGGAGATGCGAGCAGCAGGTAGGCTCTCCTTTTTCTCTCTTTTTATTTCCTCAATTTTCCCATATGATATATTGATATGCACATGAAAATTCATTTGCAGGGCCACTGCCTCTCGCTGATAGTGTCTACCACCTCCTCCTGCATCATGTGACAGGCACGAGGAAAATCATGTTTACTCATTTTGGTTCTGCAAGCTCATTTACATCTCTGAGCATTCAGAAAAACGAATCTTTGTGTATGTCATTCAAACACATAGATGTTAGTTGTCCATTAGCCAATAAATTACTTTCTCCTTTCAGTTAGCTGTCATATCCATTAGTTTTGTTCATTGCTGCAGTGCAATTTCATCTTCTACCGGATAATCTAACGCAATGTTTCTTCACCGAAAAAAAACATGTTTTGTTCAGTTGCTGAACTGAATTTGACAATGTATTTTCTCTGCACTGAAAAAATTGTGATGATCCTTCTCATACACTACATAACTTCTTATTTGCGACAAAGTCATGCTGGGCTACGATCACAAGAGTAACCTGTTGCCCCTCATCTTGGTTTTGATGCTTACTACAGAATGATTTTTTTCCCAGGTGTCCACTTTTTCCCAGGTGTCCACTTCGTGTTGATTTTTGTTGTGCTAATCACCCTCCCCTTATGCGTGTTGTTGGATGAAATTTTATTCGTTTTGTTGTAGCAAATAATCACTAGCTGCTCGCAATTTCCCCCTCCATTATTACAGCTACATATGCCCTGGCTCGACTTTGAGGTCCAACTAAAGAAGGCGTCAGCTACAACAGGCTCGACAGGATGATCAGCTGCAGACTTAATGCACCAAGTGTCAGTGAGAGAAAGGCAGCTCCATGCTTATCTGGTACTTTCATCTGCCCATTCTACTCCAACCGTGTGCACGGCGAGCCTACTCCTCTCCGAGGTCAGATTTCTTCATCTACCTTCATTGCTTCGAATGTTTGGCATCATCATATATTTGTAAATTACCTCTGCACATATATATCCAATTCATTGGGTATTAACCACTGCCCATGTATTTGTTTTTCATAGTGTTTTCCAGGTCAAGATGCCAGGCTTACAGTGCTCATAGCTCCAACCTCTTGGCATCATCGTCAGGACATCCTTCCACCATGTGTGCTTCCCGCTTCTCCAATTTGACAAGGGTAGCGAATTTTTAGCAGCTTAGCGAGTTTACCTATTTTGGTTATGCTATTCATATGTAACAGCAGTATGTTTGCTCAAGTACCTTTGTACGCAGGCTTTATTTGCGGCTTGGTATGCAAGAGGAAATACACACACATTTGTCCGTGCTTATATGCTATTAGGCAATAAAAGGACGACTTATTGCTTCTGCATTTCTAGCCCGTGCAACGTGTTAAAATGGAGTGTTTAAATCATAATTGACTGATCTAAAACTGTTACACATTGTCTACATTGTTAGTCTCCTGCCCGCGCGAAGCGCGGGGTTACCCGCTAGTTTCTATATAATTGGTGGCAAATGACATGGCCACTGGTTGCAAGCCGCATGCTACCTAGCTCGCATCCTCCAGAGTCCAGAAGGAAGATTTAATTAATGATCATAAATATCCCTTGGTGATTTGTTGCTCAAGCTCATTGAAGTTCCAAGCATCATTGACCGAGTATTCACCTGCAAAATAAGTGCTCGTTTAGTTCCTAAAAAGTTTTTCAAAAAGTGTTACAGTAGTCATCACATCGAATTTTGCGATACGTGCATGGAGCATTAAATGTAGACGAAAAAAAATTAATTGCACAGTTTGGTTGGAAATTACGAGACAAACGTTTTGAGCCTAATTAGTCCATGATTGAACAATAATTGCCAAATAAAAACGAAAGTGCTACAGTAGCCAAATTTAAAAATTCACGAACTAAACACAGCCTAAGCCTTAGAAACCTTCACAAGCAACAAATCTTCACTGGACTAGAACTACAGCTGAACCATGTAGACAGTAGCCAAGAGGCACAGAACAGAAAATTACCTATTGAGTCTCTCCGCAAGGCAGTTAAATGAGCACAGCTGCAGGAAAATGTATAGACTGAATTTGGTCACCGAAATATATTAGCACAAAAGAGATGTCGATGGATAAGAACAGTTACTAAAATGAAAATGAGGGAAAAAGGAGCATGGGGTTATTCTACAATTAAACGACAAGAGTAATATCTTAAACTACATCAAGAAAAAAGAGGAGGAACAAGTATTTGGGTTCAGTGCAACAAATACATGAAACTAGCCAACTTCAGTAAAATAGCTAAGTTTTTTTTTAAAAAAAACTTCCAGCCCAAAGACATGAAAATAATACTTGTGAAATATGAATATCAAACTTGGGCCTGTTAGTAAGGGTAAGTTCCAAGTGAGTACTATTAGTATGTATGCCAATTGGCCAAGATGTTAGACTCGGTTAAAACTTTGGCAGAGCAAGTATAAGCAGGGTGCATAAGCATAGGCCCAAAACACATAGGGGCTAGGCTCTACGCAGACTTTTAGGCTT